TATCTGTCCAAGCTTCACTCCATTAATCTTGTCACATGGATTCAGAGAGCACAGATACTACAGGCCGACATGAGGCTCAGGACGGATGACCAGATGGCCTCGCAGATGGAACAGAGAAACACAGAACAGTCACTCGGTATAAAGAGACGGAAAGAAGGGCATTTATCACACCCACTTAGAGAGGAAGACTGGGTGAGGAAGAGGACGGAATAGAAACACAGAAGAAGTGCTGTAGAAGAAGAGAGGCAAACTAACCTAAAATATGTTAAAATATAAAATGCCTTGCACATTAAATGCATGTCAGCACAAAATAAATGGAGTTTTCAAATTGTTTTAATAATGCCAATGTGTGCTGAAAAAGCAAACACTCCCTGTAGTCCAGCGAATGAGAGGAAAGATACAGAAGCAGAAAGGAGTGCAAGTGCAAACAGGAGGTCATTTGATCTGAACAGCAGCATGGTCTGGAGAACATGTCACAGCATCAGCTTTACTTTTTATGTGCTAAACCTTTAAAGCAGAATCCAATTTAGAGTCATTAAAAATTCTCACAGATCTATGCAGACTGTAGTTTGATCTCTTTCTGTTTCTGATGGTGTTTCGGCAGAAGAACAAGTTCTATTTAATCAAGAAAAGTTAAAAAAAAAGTCGGCTCAATTGATGTGCAATTATAGCTAACATGCACTAACATGCACACATAACCAGAGCAGGTGCAACAACACAGACTGTGGGTGGTGGCCGTCACCGTTACATGTCTCCTTCACCGCCCAGCAAATAGCTGTTTGCTGCAAAACCTAAAGCTGAAACCTGTGTTTAAACCTCACAGAATGACTATATTTAGCATCATACGGGGTTTGACTATAAGGTCAAAGACCTGATTCGAAAATTAACACTGCAGTTTTCATATGTGTGTGAGGGACGGATGAGTAGATGAACAGAGGGAGAGAGAGACAGGAATAAAAAGGCAGAAGCTTTAAAAGCTTTAGAAGGGATTTGTATTGAGTAAGCCACACACAGGATTAAACCATGCTAATGCAATGCCTACATAAAGTGCACACACACACACACACACACACACACACACACACACACACACACACACACACACACACACACACACACACACACACACACACACACGGTGGTATGTGTGCAAAATGGCAGAAATAACTCAACATGCAGAACTGTAGAATAAACAATTCAGGAATTAAAGGGAAGTCTGAATATCAGAAACATGGTAAGAATGCACGATAAATCTGTATTTCTGTAAATTCTAAAATTGTTCTAAAAAAGCAACAAATTAAAGCGAAGAACTACACAGTGTCAGAACAGCACCTGCATCTAAATCCTTCATCTTTTGTTGTTTTATGAGCCAGATGTCTGCCTAAATGCATAGAAAGCTCTCGTGAAATATTGTGCAGAATACTTGCATAGCTCTCGCCAGCTTCCTGGTTTAGTTAGCAACAAGAAGGGAAGTGGCCTTGCAGCAGGCTGTAAAGTCTAATTTGCTCCATAGAAAAAAAAGCAACTTGCAGAAAGAAAAGAGAGAAAATTGATTCTGGATGGAACAAAACAACATGTCTGTCTGACATTTAGTGTAGAGTTGTTTTCAAGCTGCAAAAACACAATAAATAAATAAATGTGCAATAAACAGCATCGATATGGAAACTCCCAGTGGTCACGAGGCTGTAAAGGTCTTGGTTGTAGAAGAGATATGAAGACTACATAAAGACCTAAATACAGCTCTTTTGGAATCAGCCATGTTGCAGTAAATACAGACGCTTTGTAAATGACAAAGAGGAACTGAGTTATGAACACGCCACTTTTTCAGACAAGACTCATTTAAAGGACAAATGAACAATAATTGAAATGCTGTTAATGCAAATGAGTCCAGTCCTGCTTGATCCTAGTGGATTTATTCAGAGATGAGAAGAAAATCAGATTTATTATTGTAAATTCTCTGTCACGGAATATTGTTTGAATCCTAATAATTAAACAGAAAATATCCAGACTCTTTGAGGAAGTAAACAGGTATCAACATGAGCAACAACAAAAACAACAACTTTGTGTTGTTGTTTTTGTTGCACTCACAAGCACTCACAAGAGTTCCTGCTTGTGAGTGCATGCACTGTTTGAGTGGGTCAGCATGTGGTTAATCATTTATTAATGCTTATTTCTTGTTCTCAAGAGCACTAAAGAAAAACACTTTAAAACTTTTCACCTTTGCTTTAAGTAAGGCTTGATGAATGGATTTAGTCCATGTGAAGCTTCTCAGTGGAGCAAAGCAAGACAATTATTGATGCAACCACTTTAAAAAGAGCATTGATTAGTTTCTAGTGCAGAGCTTTTGGAGTGGGTTTCTGAAGAATAGTTAACATCCTACCTGCTGTAGATAGAGCAAACTTAGGTTGGAGGATGAGAGATTCTAGTTCTAGTTTTGAACAGATTGACGTGCTAATGGTTAGTTCAAGAGTGATTATGTCCTAAAAACATTTAAAAAAATGTCAAAATGTTTTGTTACCCCTGCATTCCACCTGATACGTAAATGAATTGTAACATAATAGCTTTAGCACTTCCAGTGTGCTCTTAAAGCTGCAGTGGCAAATCTGCAAAACAAGCTAGCTTCAAACATGTTTGTGTTCTAACATAATATAGATATAAATATATTGTGGAAATAAAAAAGGGAAAACAATTATTGAAGTGGTTGTCTCGCTTTTGTCTAAAAACCTCAGCCAATAACACGGCTCGGTCCGAAACCAACGATTGGACCATCCGGTTGGTGTCACACCAGGGCCGGATTATCATTGCAGGGGCCCCTGGGCACAATGTGCTTAGGGAAGAAAGCTTTGATCATGCGTCAAAAACATGTGTGAAGTATTTACCTTGAAGTGAATCCTGCATGAGCTGGACACGTGCAAAGGCATCTTCTGGTTACTGAATAAACATTATTGATTATCATAAATAATAATTATTATAACCAAAGGTTAATAAGTCATTTCATTAATTAGAATACATTTAATATGAAAAGGATGATAATTTATGACGATTATTGTAAACCTTAATAATAATAAGCTTTTATTGAGTTATTTGATAATAGCTGAAGATGTCCCTCATCTTGGGATGGACACAGATAAACAGTCAGGCTGATGCTTATTCTTCAGACATTCCAACTCCTGATGACTTTAATCTGTGGATAAAGGTTATATCTTGACCCAGCTGTGACCTAGCTGGAACGTGAACTTTGTCCCAGAAAGACGGTCATCCATAACGCTACATGTTTGTGTGCAAAAGCTAACTTTTGCAGATTTGCCATTGCAGCTTTTAATGATTCTACTGAAATACTATTGAAACGCGAAGAGTAAGAAGTTGTGAAATAAAATCTACATTAAAAAATGTTACATTTTGATATCAGAGATGTGTTAGGACAACAGTAACAACAGTCCTGCTCAGCCTAGCTAGCTGGTAGCTTAACTGTCATGTCAGAAATGTCTCCAAACTAAAGGCTGTTCAAACATCAATCTATGACAGTTCTTCAACATTTTAACAGAAGCACACTTCAAAAGAACAAATATTTATGTTCAAGTAAAAGCAACAACAAAAAACAAGATGGAAACATCAGAAAAACTGAAATGTGAACATTATATAATAAAAGATATTGTTCCGTGAACACACACACACTTTGTGACAGTAGGAGTTTGTTTTTCTTATGAAACAAAACAACTCTTGTCTCCATTAAGAGACAAAAAGACGCAGGCTAAGGCCTAGTCCACACGTAGCCGGGGTTTTTTAAAAACGAATATCCGCCCCTCCAAAAACTTGCATCCACACCACCTCGTTTTAAAAACAAACTCTGTCCACATGTACCCGGATAAATACGCTGTTAAGGACATGCCAGACCTGTAGGCGGCAGTACTTCCCCCGTTCTTAACCTCGTCCTTCGTCTGTGGTCTTCCGCAAGGAGCAGTAATTCCGCTTGCAAAAACAAACAAGCAAAAAGCGCTTGGACAATTGATGGATCGGGTAGTGACAGAGCGCAGCTCTGAGAGCATCCATGCTGTCGGCTAGTGTAAACACAGGTCGCACACGTGATGTCAGCATTTTTTTGTCGCGGAGAGTGACGTTGCGGACCTTAAAACTCCGGTTTTGTCTGTCCACACGCAGACACCCAAAATGGAGAAAACGCAGATCTTCACTTTGGCCGGAGTTTTTAAAAAGATCAGTTTTCGTGTGAAAAAACTCCGTTTTCGTGTGGATGACAGGCCAAAACGTAGGAAAATATCTACGTTTTGGCAGATCCCCGGCTACGTGTGGATTTGGCCTAATTCTGTTCATGCAGCTGATCTGCAGTAACACGAGCAACAGTTTCCTCCTATAGATTGGACCTCTGATTAAATTGGTGCTTAGCATGAAATGAATTCAGAGTGAAAATCACGAGCTGTCACACCTCAGGGAAGCCCTATGAAGCAGGGACGCTCATCAAGCTGAGGACTGCAGCCATGTTCCATCAGCGCTCACCGCTCGCAGGCACCGCCGTGCAAGCCTCTTCGTGACAAAACATCATCCGTGCAGCAACACAACACTAGTAGACGTACTGTACTCATGTCGCATTCAAACTGCTTATCATCAACCATGCTGACATTTCTATTCTGATCTGTTTTTGGCTCCGACAAACACAAGCCCCCGGAGATTTATTAGGCTGTATAAAAGGACAGCTAGTTCAGCCTCCCACGGCTTCATACTTCGTTTTTCTGTTTGACAGCCACACTCGGCCTTTCTGCCCTCAGGATTTATCCTTGTTCATCGCAGACAAGGTCAAGGCACGCAGCTTTCCTACGGCTTGTCAGCTCATTCTCCTGGTGGCTCAGTCGCTTCCACAAATCCAACAACAACATGAAGATGGCCAACGTAACACGAGCAATGCCTCCCTAACTCTGACAGGAGAACTTTAAATGAAGACAGCAAATGAATGTCCTGAAGGTTGGACTTGAACAGAAGTGGAGTACCTTCGTAGAAGGGCTGAAGAGTTTGGTGTAGAGGTCAGAGAAGAGGAAGTTCTGGGAGGAAAAATCCTGTAAAACAAAGAAAAGCATAGTTCAGCACATCTGTAATATTTACATCACATACGGATGTGATCTGGGACCTCGTTATTGCCACCGCTGTTCTAAAGCAAGGGTGTCCACACTTCACCATGTTAGCCATTTTTAAAATGGCCATCGATCCACCACACTTCTATGAATTTGTGCTTCCTACATGCCAAGCGTTGTAGGCCATTTGATAAAATGGGAGAGTGGGGTGTTTGTTGCTGGAGAAAAGCGTCGCAGAGGTCTCCGTGAGAGCGTGGAAGGTGGGGTGTCCTTCCTGAATGTAATTTGGGGAATTTCCAGGAAAATATTAATACAGAAAGAGAGTGTGGAAAAGGGGTAAAATACAGGAGTTTCTTGGCCAAAACGAGAGACTTGACAAGTATGATTAGCATTAGCTTGTAAGATGTTCAGGTCTTCTGTGAGGTCTTGTGTGAAATCAGAAACCTAAAACAATAAAGCTTTATGTAACAACAGAATATTTTACCAGTCAAGCACCAATTGTCAAAGAAATGTTTGCCACAAATATTCTAAGGCTAAATGTTCTGTTTGGGGTTCTCTTGTTTCAGTTCTTTGCGGTCTAGAAATATTTTGGTGTCTTGCAGTGTAGATATTCCTGATGCACTTAAATGCAACCTGTCCTGGTGTGTGTCTGTGTGTGTAGAGTATAACCATATATATATATAGAGAGAGTGAAATACCTTTCAAGCAGACTTTAGTGGTTATGGTCATTTATCAACATATTTGTCTTTTGGTGATTCAACTAAAGCCACCTGTTAAAGAGACACTATGCAACCTCCAGTATGTTGGGACTTAAAAAAATGGAGTTGCATGATTTATATCATGAACACAACTGATTTGTTTAACACTCCCACTGTCCTAATGGGTGTGACCCTGCGAGGAAAGTTGACCATTGAGCAGGGTTGATGCTTTATCCCTTGGGTCCATGTGGCAGGAGTGAGGAGTGAGCACCACCTCACCCCTGCCACGTGGACCTCAAGGGATAAACCATCAATCCTGCTCAATGGTCAACTTTTCTTGCGAGGTCACCCATAAAGACAATGGGAGGGTTAATGTAGTGATGGATCACTTCTGTAGACATTAATAAATGCTGGGGAGACATTTCAGCTGTTAGATTAAGGTGGTAAAAAGATGAATGTGCAGCGAGGAGATAAGTTTTGCTTTCTGTTCTGCTAAACTGTGATGAAACAAAACTCTCCACAGAACCCAACTTATAAAAATTGAAACCTTTCTCTTGTAAATGCTGGAGCTCCAGGAGTATTTAACAAGTAGATCTGTACTGGCAAGCATGATCACGGCTCTCCGACGTAGACTTCATAACTGTCCTTGGGTAAATTCTCCCATTGTCTTCAACACTGCTTGTTCTCACAACAAACGTTTCATGTTTATCTTGTCGAGATAAAACCTCTTGACAGATAAAGAATTTCAATTAAAACCATAGATGAGATTAGTAAAGTGCTTCCTGAGGCAGCAACACTCCAGAAAAGCACATTATACAGAGGAATGATAATTTGCATAATGTTGAAGCATTATAGATGCATAAATTAACTGACTACAGTAAAAACAATGAATTTCTTCTTTATTTGAAGAAGTTAAACCTGGAGGTGATGCACGGAGAATAAAGTGCAGCACAAACAGAAAACCACTGGAAAAAATGTTTACTGCAGCAAATGCTTGAACAGGTTCTACATGATGAGAGTAAATAAGGCTCCAGTTTTACACTGCCGTTTCTTTCTGTCATCACATATTAGCCTGGCCTGCCAGACTCCTCCTCTGTTTAATTCTGCACAGAGAAAGAGTCTGGGAACTCTCCTATTCAAATAACCCCACCCCGTAAGAATTATAACCGAGCCAATCAGCGCTGAGCATCGTACGACACACACCTCAACGCCGAGTTTGTCATAAACATGGTGACTGAAGTGGAGTTCGCTGCGGCTCTTTCCTTTGTTCTAAATGATTTGAACATGTCTTTAAAACCACAACAAGTAGAAGCGCTAAAAGCATTTCTTCTAAACAAAGATGTTTGCGCTGTCGCCAGACTCCATTTTTACTACAGCTAAAAAAACTACAGCGTCGCGGACGTCACACACAGCGACGCTCAGTCTCTCATAAACAACAAAGACAGCGGCGGAGTTTGCTGCAACTCTCTCCTCTGTTCTAAATGCCTCAAATGTCTTGAAAGCCACAAGTAGAAGCGCTAAAAGCATTTCTTCTAAAAAAAAATAAAAGATGTTTGCGCCGTTGTCAGACGCAGTTTTTTTTACTACAACTAGAAATCTACCACGTCGTGCGGTACAGTCGGGATTTGCGTCTTTTTTCTGATTGGTCATTTTTGAGCTGCCTAGTCCCGCCCCTCAAGTGCCTCTCTGCCTGTGAGTTACCAGACTGTGCAGAATTAAACAGAGGACGAGTCTGGCAGGCCAGGCTAATCACAAATAACACTAAACATGCTGCAGCTTGATTCGGTGCAAAACAGAAGACTGTTCCTGGTGGCAATAATATAAATTTTCTAATATGTTCTGATCTAAAAGAAGCTGCTATGTTTCAGTTGTACAAATGACCATAAAGAGGAAATCCTCTATTATTTAAGAGCCATTACTGCTCTGTTCTGCTGTCTGTGCTCTGATCTAATTACACGCAGACTCATCTGATTAGCTGTCTGAACAGGAGCTAATAAAATCCTTGCAGGATGCTCAGAGCAAGGCTTCAATGATGACCAGACACATGATCATAATTATCTGAATGCATGGTGTAATGTTCCTAAAATACAAGGAAAAGCAAAAGAGAGACAGTGACAAGTGAATGCTTTTGTGACCGAATAACAACCGAGGTTTCTAGTATGAGAAAATACAGTAGCGGATACAAAACTGGAGTGGATTAAAAACATTTGAACATTGTTGAGTGTAAAGCAGCACAAATACCAACCATCAGTTGTATGACTGGAATGTTTCTGATGGTTTATCCAAGCCACTCAGAATAAAATAAATATCATAGGAAAGCTTTCTTTGTTTGGTTCAGGATTAAGGTTAAGTTAATTTGATGAAGCAGGTGAAATCAAATTCTAAACCAGCATTGATGCTGTTGAGGGTCTGACCTCATGAGGAAATTACTATGCAGTGATTTTCTCCAAAATGACTGTGCTTAAATTGCTCTGAAAAGCAAATAATCACATCAGCGCCAAGAAACTTCATTTCCCATGATGCTTTGCACACTGAAGCATTGGGATGATGTCACCGCCTAATACCAGAAACATGTTCTGCGCATGTGCGGGAGGCCGTGGAGCTTTTCCCGCGAACTAAGACCATAAATCTTTAGCAGAGACAAAGAAACCTCGTTCTTTTGCCCAGGATACCTGGCGGTAAGGACACGCTTGTCGAACGCTCCGACTCCCTTGAGCACGCGGAAGCTCTAAGTGCCCAAGTTGAGCCACGGAACTGCTGGAAACTACACTCCAACTCCATCGGGACCTGACTGGGAACGAGCGGAGCTCCATCCAGCTCTCAGAGACGCTGTAAGTTGTCAAACTCAGCCCAAAAGAAACTTTGTTCTCTTTGTGTCCAGCCCGTTGGAGAAACACTCGTGGGGCCAAAACAACGGAGAAAGCATCAAACCGACGGACGACGCCAAACAACGGAGAAACACGGAGAAACACGGAGAACCGTCAAATCAAAACAGCGGGGGACGCCTTGCTGTTCTGGTGATCAGAAAACTCATTTCTCTCTCTCCTTTTCTTCTCCCGTTTCCTCTATAGTCCAGAATAAGCAATAAAACCGCGCCTATTGCTTAAAAGTAGCTTCGTGTTTTCCTCTTTCGTTCCCAAACACGTCCGTCGGGTCATTTTGAAAGAATAAACTGCTTATTGATCATTGTTTGGTATTTTTAAATGTTTTCTGCTTGGCCACGTGGTTAAACTAAAAGATATTAACTTGTGATTAATCTTTTGTGTTGTTTCATGATCCTTTGAAATGTTTTGAGTGAATTTAAGGTTAAGTTACTTATGATTCTAAGTGCCTTGGAAGTTAAAGTGCAAGTTGCCACCCACACTTTAGCCAGACAAAGGGGTCAGCCATCTTGCATACAGACTCCATTTTAGAAACACACACACACACATACATACACACAAAACACCTTGAACATTATTTTGAATATACATCCTTTTATTATATCACATGGTTATTATTCATTTATGCCACTGTTTATTCATTTGACAAATTGTTAATTAAACGTTATAAAATTCAGATTTCGTCTCCAGTAGCTTTGTTGTGTCGAAGAGAAGTCTCTGCTCCGAGGATTCTACGAACTTCAAGAAAGACTGATAAGAGTTTTGGATTCAATTTTTCCCCGGTTAAAGGGGAATGGTGCCCCGTATATCTAAGAATATCTTAATTAATTAATAAATCAGTAAATATTCCCATATTTACAGAATTTATTGAAGAATCCAAAAGTAAGTTAACGCTTACTAATTGTTCGCTACCGAATAACCCCAACAATGCAAAGACCCACACACGCTTATGCTTTATGTAGGTGAACAGCCACATAATACCTCAAGTTTTAATAACAAACACATTTAGCATCAGGAGCTGCACGCATGTAAATATTTTCTCAGAAATCCAAGCTTCAATTCTGAGAGTATTCTGTGGTACTTGTGTTTGTTTAAAGGCGTCGTTCTCTGAAAAAACATTTTACTCATTGTTTTTGATTATAATCAGACTCTCTGAGACCACTGCAAATGTAATAAGTGAATCACACCTTTAGGACTCTTATTTTGAAGAATCAAAGGAAGTTGTGTGAGACTACAGACAGCACTTTGGACTGATTTAAGGAAAATCCACATGTTGATAGTTATAGTTTACCCAGTAAAACCAAACCGGTAACCCTCGGTTACAGAGACAGGGCAAATACTTACTTCCTCTGTCTCTTCTAGGAGCAGCCTTCTGTTTCAACTTTTCTTTGGCATTTCGACTTCC